GGGAACTTAGTTGCGCACCTAATATATTTGCCATGTATAGAACACTTTAAACAACTGCCATATCCAGTATGGCCTTTTGAAGAAAGTAAAAAAGATTTTGCAGGAGTATCTTCACTTATACACTGGAGTTTCACAGGTAGAAATTTACCATTTATTTCTAAACCATTATTAATAAGATATATGACTTCACTAATAAAATCTTCTAAGAACAAATTTATGTCATCTGGTTTTTTATACTCACAAAAAGCTCCTATCATTCATTACATCTTGTACTCCTGCAACACTTATTAAAATTGGCCAAAGTTGTTTGCCTGAAGATTTTGATAATGGCAAGCCATCAATATTTAAAGTTAAATCAACATTTTGTATATCATATTTTGATAATACACGAACTAATTCATTTACAAGTCCTTGGTGATAATATTCACCAGGAGGTATAATTTTAAATGGAGAAGATCGAGGTGTACCTAAGAGAGTACGGACATCTGAAGGAAACACACTTTTAAAACATTTATGTTTTCTTATATCTTTGAGCAGCACATTAACATGTGTAGTAGGTACATTTAAAGTTTTACACCATCTAGCAAAATGTAGTAAAATCATCTTCTATTTCATTATTCTCAACCTCAAAAATGTTGATGTTATTCACATGACTGTGAATATCACAAAGATTAATATTGTTGTCAATATTGAATTCCTCATCATCATCTCTCCTATCATTACTTCCATTATTGTGATCATTATTTTCATGACTTCCATCATCATCTCTCCTACCATTACTTCTATTATTGTGATCAACATCTTCATGACTTTCATTATCATTTCTCCTATCATCACTTCCATTATTGTGATCATTATCTTCATGAATTTTATTATCATCTCTCCTATCACTACTTCCATTATTGTCTTCTTGAAATCTAGCTCTCTTATTATTTTCCTTTGAATATTGAGAATTTGTCATTTCCTTCATTCGAAAACGAAAATATCTTTTTGAAAGTTGGCTCACTAATTTTCTGCTTCTTATATTTTCTGATATTGCGAGACTACAAACATTATGAAATATAGTTAGGTAAATAAATTTCATCTGTATTACTTTCTAAAATTTTTTATAAGCAGCTGTATAGTATTTGAATGTATTTTAACTATTTAATGCTTCTGCAAACAAGTAATTACACCCGTATATATTATAAGATACGTAAAAATCCCTTTTCTCATTTTTTTTAAAGAAAGAAGAAAAAATATCTAGTATATAATTGTTAATAAAGTTTGAAACCAAACGTAAATAAAAAATGTGAAAGAAATATTTGTATGATAATAGCATATTTTTTTATTATTTTATTGGTGCATTCAATATACATATATGCTTCTAAATTTTGTTGGAATTATATTGCAATTTTTGTCTTATTTTTTGTAAAAACAATATAACAATTATTTATCTCATGCAATAGAATTCTAGTACAGATCTGGTCTGTACTGTGAAATGCTATTGAATGTAATAAATTGCTTTTATTACAACTAATAAAGTTTTTCAAAACTAATAGAATAAAAATTGTAATGTAATTCCATAATGTTGATTCTATAATAAGTCAATAGTCGGTAGTTCTAAAAGTCTTATCGGTGAATTGGCCAACAACCAACTTGTACGACTAAGACTACCGATTTTCTTAAGGAAACTAAAACTGGCCAAATTCGAGTTTATTTATTCTCATTAGTCGACTCACTGTAATTAAAAACTTGTACTCAGTGAGAAATGACAATGAAATCGATGTCGAATCGACGCCGATTCGACGTCGATTTGATGATTTCTACGACGAATCGACATCAATTCGATGTCGATTCCACTATCATTTCTCGCTGGGTAGATGCGAAAAATTGTAGTCACCTATTTAGGTTAAGACTTATCAAACTTAGATATAAGATTTCCGATTACTGACTCATTGTAGAATCAACTCTACATTTAAAAATATCGAATGCACCAACGAAATATTTAAAACCGTTAATGTAGCAAATAGGGTTAGGATCCTCAACAAATTTTCTATCGATTATTATTCAGTTTGAAAAGAGCGGAAAAAGAGATTATGCGTGGAGAAACTATATATACACAAAAATTATAATTACGAAAGAATAAAAAACAATTACTTACTTTTTAATTGCATACTGTCATTTATACACTCAATATTGCACTCAATCTGATTCCTATATTTGTCCGCGCTAAACATTGCCATAAATTCTTCGAGAATCAATTTTGCCAACTGTGTATGCATGCATTATCTGCAGCATTACCAACTATAACTCCGGATCTACAATAGGGTTTTAAGCCTTGAGCCATAAGAAATGGATGAATCATAATCGATTATTCTCCTCGAATTCGACTGTAATTGGTCAATTTCTTACAACTTAATGCTTAAAACACCTATTGTAGATCCGGACTAATGGCCGCAGCACAGACTTTTGCATAACGCATAACGCATAGTGCATAAGCGAATCAACTAATCAGAAGCTTTCCTTTCCTCTCATTCTATAGAAAAGAAGAATTTCGATTGATTCCCTTATGCACTATGTATTATGCGTTATGTAAAAGTTTGTGCTGCGGCGCATAATATCATTATTCTCTATGCACGTCTATGCGACGTGCAAGAAACGTTACATATTTTTTACGACTTTGCCGCCAAAATAGCATGTCTATGCACGTCTTTGCAGCGTGCAAGAGACGTTACATATTTTCTGCGACTTTGCGACCAAAATAGCACGTTTCTGTTACGTATAGTGCAGGCAGGGTAGTAAGTTTTCGGAAGTACAGTTTTCAAGCTTTAAAATCCTTTTTTAAATTTAAATTTGGTTGATTTTTTAATGAAATTACGACTGTTCTTAATAGCAATACAGAAAAATCA